ATATATATACACATATATATACATACATATATATACATATATATAATTTTAAATGAAATGACAGTGCTCACATTAGTAACTATCAAGTTCAAAAATGGAAACACATTAAGCCAAAGGGACATTCCTTTCACAAGACATTCCTTGAGAGAGATCAAAGTAAAATGCTGTCTTACCTTTGGAGTTCTTCTTCTTTTTTGCTTTTGATATAAATTCGTCCTGCAGTTCATCCGCGAAGTTTTCATTTTGGCTGCCATCATTTTGCACTCTCTCACCAGAGTGTTTACGCTTCCTGTCCAGACGTGGACATGGATGTTGGCCAATATCTTCCGTTGGCTGGTCTTCCGCTTTTTCATATATAGAATGTCTCTCTAAATAACATTTCTCATTTGAAAGATCTTTTTCCTCCGGAGTTTCGAGAAAGTGACCTTGGTTGTTTTCTGTACTAGAAAAGTTACCTAAAAATAAAATAAACAAACACCACAAGACCTAATAAATATAAAACAATTCATTGTGAGAAAGCTACGCTCTCTGATCTCTTCAATGTCATCTCCATTATGACTTATGGCTCATGGGGCATGCAAATAAACACAAAATTCTACTTCACAACGAGTCTCCTCTGGTCAGCCTAAGGCAGCAGTTTTCTCAGCAGTTAAGTACAAAACCCCCAAAAGCGCACTACTTTGTGTTGTTTTTACATTCATTTAAGAAGTACAACATTCACAATACTCGTATCCATAGAAACATCACAATACGTTGTTTTAAATAAAGAAATATCTTTAGATATTGAAAGCACAGACTCCTTTCAGAAAGCAACCTCGCCCCCAAACCCGTGGTAAGCAACAATCCAAACTCCACTTTGCAATGACTTTGTTTTCAAAAATACCTTCTGATGATAACAAAGTATTAGTCTTTCGCTAATCCCTAATCCTTTCCTAACTTCTTGCATCGAATTGCAGAGTCTGACTCAAAAGCGTTCGTCCCTTCTTCTGGAGATATAAATGGGATACGGAGCACGCACACACGTACATGGGAATACCACTAAGAATAGCTGTGATATTTTGCAAAAAGCACTACTTGAATCCAAGGTTATAAAAAGGCTTCCTCACTTCAAGTAACCAGCCAGTCTCTGCATATCACATGATGTTTGTCACCTTTTTTAAAAAGACCTCGCTTTTTTCAGGGAATATTTCCAGCAGCAGCGAGCGGGTAAGATTTGAAAAGCTTGCTAGGAACTAGTCTGACAAATTAGCCACAAAAACACCCACGTTGCCATGCTTGCCCTAACTTCAGCTTCCCCTCTCCAATACTGCTCTCTCAAATTTAGAGACAGCTGAAGCAATTTTAAATGGGTGCTCGATATAAAATGACAATCACATAGTGAATAGTTTTGGGGTGGGGTTTTTTTGGGGGGAGGGTGTTAACCAAGCTAGTCGGGGCACAACTAGACAGAGATCCAATACAGGCTGTAACAGCGTCCTACTTACAATTCTCAGAAACAAGTTCGTTTTCTCACGTGGTTTAGCCCTCTTGGCTGACCGATGCTCTTCCCGCACGACTGCCGCTGTTTGTGAAACCATCTGTATGCTCCATTCTACTTCCCTACAGCTTACTGTCCCTTTTCCTCTTCCTCCTCCTTCCTCTTCCTCCTTCTCCCTTTCTTCAAACACATCCGCTGGTTTCCTACCTGGACTCTTGACAGCTCCGTTTCCCTTCCCTCCCCCTGATCCTCCCCGTCCTTACTCAGCCCTCCTCCCACGTACAGCCTGGCCTTCGAATTCTGCTCTTCCCCATCGCCAGGGCAGACGCTGCTCCCCTGCAGCGTCCTCCCTCCCCTGTCCCCTCCGAGACCCACCACACCAGGACCCAGGCAGTGGCACCTCCTGGATGCAGCCCAACTCTATCCCATCCTCACCTGAGAGCACCTTCCTACAGCTCTGCCAACACCTTCAGGTTTCACAACTGTCTTTGAAATACCTATTGTCAGCAAGGAAAGGCTGAAAGGGTTAAAAAACAAAACACTTCTCCAATGAGATTTTTCTTCACCACAACTTGGAAACAGCTCCAAGTAGCACGTAGGGTACTGGAGATGTTTGCGGGCACCAGAAGACACCCCAGCATCATTTTTACACCGCTTCGGAAGCTGCCTGCAGGGCTGCTTTATGAAACAGCAGAAGATATTTTTGGCCAAGAAAAACAAAAGTTGACTTTTTCCATGCGAGCAGGACTCTTGGGCCATTCTGCTATTTGGCAATGTTCCTCTCCACGAGGCCGTCTGGCCAACACCTGCTCCCTTCAAGAATTTAAAATGCTGTTTGTCACACTTCTTCTAGCCAGCAATGCCAGAAAACGGGTATCTCAGCTTACTATGACCATGCCCCTAAACCGCTAGTGTCCCCCTGAACCAGGACGAACCTGGCAACACCCCGTGCTTGCACATCTGGTATGAAGATGCTGCCCAACAGCTGCATCCTATAACCACACCAGCAGCATTGGCAGCCCTCTATAAAAGAAGCTGCGCCAGCCACGTTTTAAGTGTCACTTTAGAAATGCTTCTATCGGATTTCATTTTACATTTTTAATGTAATCTGCTCCTTTTTTTCCGCCCTTTCATAAGGAAACATTATACTTATATGCTCAGTTTCCCTGAACAGATCAGGTAAGGGCACTCTTGCATCTCCAGCAGCCCCAGCAGCTACAGGTCACGGTTCAGGCTGAGAGTCGCTAGATCGGGACAGCTTCCCTGCTCCCAGCCCCAGGTGCCTGAGAAAAGGCAGGCACATCCTGACCAATTCCCAGAGAAGCTTTCGCAGGGTCAGAGGAAGTAGCAGGCCGGGGCAGTGGGGAGGGGGGGGCGGGTTGACGGTCTTAATCTTTGGGGCTTGTAGGAAACAGCAAGCTAATTCCAGCCTGCCACCGCCAACAGCGACCCGCTGCAGATTAATTCCTTCTCGGATCTGCGAGAGGACTTGGCACAGCGATGCTGAGTGCCGCTCGCTTAGACTGTCTGTGCTAAAAAAATAAAAAGGAGGGGAGAGACATTTGCTGTAACCTCGCTAACAGCTTGTCACCGTCGGTGCTTCCCCAGGGCTCCACGTGCCACACACCCACTGAAGTTTATCCAAAAAAGCCCTCGCTGCCAGGTGACCAGAGCTACATCTCCTCAGCTGCCGAGGCAGAAATCCCTCTCGAGGACTGACCGCGCTGCACATGCGTCTCTGAAATCCGTCCCGCTCAATGCGGTTAAGACCATTAGAGGAGCGACATCTCCGCGCGTTAATCCGGGTTGTGTAATCATCCTGCACCGACACGGGAGGACAGCGACGGCGGAGCCAGGGAGCCACGCGGGACACGTCCTCGCCTATCTGCTCCACCACCGCCGATGCTCCCCGCCTCTCCTCTACAGAGGGATTTTCACCGCGAAAGAACAAAGGTCAGTCGCTGTTCGGGACACGGCGTAACCCACAGGCTGTCAGGCTCCCTACGTGGCTTGCACAGACACGTCGCATGCCCAGAGGTTTTTCCCCTCGGCACAGCGGCGACCGCCTCACAGAGCGCAGGCTCTATTAATATTTTACCACCGGATTCCACTCTGTCCTCAAACTGTTTTGCAAGCAACCCGGATTAGACGCGATGTCTCCCCAAATTAAGATATAAATGTCAACATGAGGCACAGCAACATAAGCATATCGTGCATGCCCAATAAGGACAAGGAAAACGTATTTGCTTTTGACCCCGCCTGCCATGTATCTACAGCATCCTTTTCTCTGCCCGAGGAAGAAAACAAAAACAAAATACTTGGAGTTTTCATATCATCATTATTCAAACAGTGACGAGGCAGCCAGAAACACGATAGATGCTGAGTTCTCACAGCAACACACCTCTATGAGTAAGGAGATTATACTCCTAAACGTGTTCCTTCCTTGAGCCTCCAGCATTTGCCAGTCTCACACCAGCTGCAAGAACTAGCACCAACAACTCAAACCACTTCTCACTGTCCTACCCAACCAGAAACAAGGAAAAATTAAGAAGGTGCTTCTTCCCATATGGTTTCTCCCTGAAGCAGTATCTCCTCAGTGCACGCGTTACGATCTCACCGAACAGTTACATGCACACACAAACACGCTACCCAGTGAAACTTTCCTTCATTTTTCTATCTTTCTGTTGCTGTCAGCTGCTTCAGACCAGGCCCTCCCATGCGATGCAAACACGGAAACACATCTGAGTGTTTAAGCTGCGATTCTTCTGTTCAAATAACATGGCAGCCAAAAACAGTCTTTCCTCTTCCCTGGAGCAACCTCTCATTGCGCTCCCTTACGCAAGCCACCTTTTATTCATCCGAGGACAGCAATGACTATTCAAACGCTAAAACCCAGTATTCAGCGTGGAGATCACAACAAAAGTAAGAAATTCCGGAAGTCAACTTCAGCATCCCATCCTGAGGATCCCGGGAGGCAGAGGAAACCCAGCCAATTTAATTTTTTCCTCCAAGTACCTCTGCCTGGGAGCTTTCCACATTTGTTTCCTTCTGCCTGAGCCTACTCCACTGCACAAACAGACAATCACAATTCTCCCTGCACAGACTTTTGGGGTTTCCCTTCTTTTTTTTTTTTCCCCCTCAGTATATCCCATGGCAGGAAGGTAATAACCGACCAGGGCAAAGGACATGTTTACTGTCTCCATCTTTCATTTGGCCAGGTATACACACAGCCCAGCAAGAAAAGCAAAGCAGGGGATTACCTTGCAAAGGGACACCAGCACCTCGCTCCAATGCTGAAGATCAGCTTTAAAGGCTTTCACGCATTACGCCACTTACTTTCACACACAGAAACTGCTTTAACTTTTTCCCCTTGACCTCATGCCTTAAGGCTTTTAGGAGAAAATCAGGTTTTTATCATACCGGATTTTACTGTTCCCAGCTAAGGCTTAAACAAGAAGTGTCTTCCCGACAGAAAATTAGATAAATGGGTACAATCATGCTCCCCGATCAAGAAATTCACAGCTTGTAGAATTTACTTAATCTTTCACACTCGAGTATGATTTTCAATTCCACTAGAAGAGCTTTGTTATGAAGCAACATGCGATCATCACATGCCCATATTGATGCGTGTGTCCGTGCCAATAGCTTAAATCACTTGATCTCTGAACAATCCTATGACTCATGACATATGCATCCCATAATTTATCACGTTTGTGCTATGGAAATGCACCGGAGCAGCATCGCCTCAGCAACATTTACGAGTCACCTTGGCAACAAAGCAGCTTCGCGGCTGCTCTCGGAATGCCCAGCAAAACCCTAAGCAAGGCGGGAGAGAATTAAAGCACTTCTACTTTATTCCTCTGCTTTAATTGCTCTTGTTAATTAGCTAACACAGCTACCTCCCTTAAATTGGACTTTTAGGGAAAAAAAAAATATCTTTTTTTATCCTTCTCCAGAAAGGCACAATGGAGCTTAAGACTATCCGTCAGGCAAAGCCACGCGCTGCCAAGTCAGAGGAAAAGTTTAAGGAATCGGATATTGGTGCCTTCATTCACTTCCAAAAAAAGTCCGCGTGCACACTATAGAGCTAGGAAAATGAGCAAGTCCCAGGGCAAGCTAAAAAAAGGAGTTTCCATCCCATCAGATGCCTCTGAAAGCATCACCTGCTCGTGTAATTTAGCCTGTTGTTGTTGTTGCTGTAGCACTGGTAGATTCAGAGGAGCCGGAGGGGGGGAGCTGGCAACTGCCAGGGCCCCGACCGGCTCCTGCGCTCCCTGCCAGGCGCAGCAGCGGAGGCAGCCCTGTGAGCCGGCTCCGTGCCACCGTCACCGTTTCAGTTGCGGGTTTCCTCCTCCCCGCCAACATCGGGCAGGCAGAACGCTCACAGCGGCAGCAGGGGAGAGGGTTGCACCCAAGAGCTCCCTGGTTTTGCTCACGAATTCTCCCACTGGAGCATGTAAAATACAGCCACGCCGCTTGGCTTTCGGCCAGCGCCGGGCGAACGCTACATGATATGACAACGTCTTACCAGCGGCAGCGAGATCGCAGGCGGGCAGCAGAAAGCGAAACGAAAGAGGGCTGGCAACATTCAGCTAGTTCCCCATTCCGAGAGATTTAAAGCCAGACGCACTGACAGCGTGGTTAGATATGGGAGGGAAAGGGGAAGGCAAGGGATTAGGAAGCCCTGGCTCCCGCTGGCGATAAGCGGAGGGGAAGAGCAGGCAGAGCACATCACCCCTTTGCCAGTCGCCTGTTGGGAGACGCATCAGGACTGCCGGCAGCTCAAGCCCCAGCAGAGTCCAAGCCACTGCACTAGAAGCATTCACTCTCAGCTTCCTGATTTATCACCTGCTATCCCGAGGGGCAGGAGGTGAACCACCACGATAAAAAAACTTTTGCTGAGACCTGAATCTGTACCAGTAAGTATTTGCTGTGGTATGGGTGGGCACGCAGAAGGGGAGCTCCCTGAGAACAGATCTGCACTTTTAGGAGTTTAGAGGTTCAGCCAAACTCTGAAATAGGCTGTTAAGTCAGAGCTATTTAGTAGATGAGAGGACCGATCTAACATAATACTGACCATACCTTCCCTGCTTGCAACAGTTATTTAATAGTCTCAAACACATTTTAGCCAGCAGATTCAGGTGCTGGAGACCTCACTGAACGATGAATGTAAGGACACACCCACCACATCATGAGCCTTTCTCAAGGATGGGAGGGGTCGTTTCAGCAAACAACGATGCTCCATCTTTGTCCCTCCTCGCAGCAGCATCCCCTCCCTCCCCACCAGGCACTCCCTCTCCCCCTGCACCCATCCCTGACCCTGTACACCACTGCCCTTCTCTCCCCTGCTAGACCTATGTTGTCCCGCAGCCAGAACAAGCTGGCAGGACCCTAGGGTGGGATTTAACAAAGGATGTCACCCAGGCCCTCCGAGGAGAGCAAGGGAGGCTGCAAGGGGCAGCAGCCTGCCAAGCTCTCCGCTTTAGCCCGGGGACCGCAAAGGCATCAGTGCCTTCCTCCCCGAAGCAGCCTCGATATAGCTGAGAGAAGCGAAAGCTCACTCAGCTTCCAGATGCTCAGCCTGCCTCTCCCCACCATGGTACTTCCTCCCCTTCTGCAATTAAAACTTTCCCTTGGTGTTTTGCCAGGCTGATTTTTGTCGAGGTTGTTATTTCAGTGACAGCAACACCAAGGTAACTTGATTTAGGTGAGTAACTAAGCAAGTACGATTGACCAGCACGGTCTCTGCCAAAAGCATTAACCAAAGACCAAAACAGTAATTCAAAGTTATTAAATTGCCCGAATGAAATTTTCTACTAGTCTTACTCATGAATCTTCACCTACAGAAGAGCACAGTTAACACACTGCACGCACACACACACACATACACCCCCTCCAGGCTTAGAGTGCCTTTCCTCTTGTTTTGCAATACTTTCAGCGCAGGTATTTCTTCCGAGTTGCTAAAAACAAAGTAGTAGCAGGAGGAACCGACCCATTCCTTATCATACAGGTAAGAGAAAGAAAAAGGGAAATTGACAGAAGACACATGCTTACCACAGCTTCCCAAAAAAAAAGGTTATTTTTCTTGTACACAGTAAAAATAAATGCCCCTAACAGCATTTATTTATTTATTTTTAAGTTTCTCTCACTTTTAGGCCAACGCTGCTAGCACACACTTTCCGCCTACCTCTGACACCTCACCACAGCCCGGAGGGAGCAGTCAGACCCTTGGGGAATTTCACAGTTCCCCTCCTGCCGGCAAGGATCTGTGCCAGCTCACCACATGCACCCTGCCACCGGTCGCTGCAGCAAGAAGTCACCCAGGCAAACGAGCTTCTCATCGTTCAGAGTTTTACGGCCAGATTTTAGGGATAAGCCAGCCTGGCAGATCCCGTCCTTTTCCGCTCCCCATCACCCATGTGTCCTCCATCCTTGCTTTGCCTGAAAGCCACGACATTGGCATCTCCCAGCACTACAGCAACTTCAGGAAGCTGAAGTCGTCCTTGCCTGTCTCTTTTCCCCCACCTCCTCTCTGCATTTAGAATATAACCCTTGGACCTCTGCTTTCACTGGTTGACATGGTGCCCCATCAATTTTTAACTGACGATCTCTTTAGGACAGTGACACTTCAGTGACACTTAACCAAATCAGGTATGACTTGTAACCAGCAACTTCCAGACCCCAAAACAAGCACAGAGAGCACCAGCTGTGGCAGCCATGTACCTCCAGAGGCTGAGGTCAGTGACTTTAAACCACCACCACCGCGAGAACACGAGGATTACGCTGCCTGCACAGCTTTGCTGCAAGCTGCCACGGCACAGAGACACGTACGCGCTTCAGAAAGCCATCTAAATTTGCTTACATCTGTCATTGTCATTTTGGTCAGCAATGGCATCTTCCAGAGCGACAGACTTTGGCTTCTTTTCACTGTTTCCTTTCAAGTTTTCCCAGTCTGCCTGGCTGAATCTGCAGACCTCTGAGTCTTTGGTAGCTGTTTGGCCTTCTCTCTCTTTCATCTCCAACTCTGAGAAGCGCATCATTGCACGCTAGAAAGAGAATTGATATGAAAAAAAAAGTCTTGCGATAAAAGCCACTTCATTTACCTTACCTCATATGAAAGCATTTCCAAAGAAAAATTGGCTCAAAACCAAGGTTTCAGATAGATAGCTAGAGTAGGAATTTAACACACCTGACTTGTAAAACAGTGTTCTAGCATCTATATGCAAATAGTCACAACATTCTTCTATATATAAGTATATATGTATATATATAAGATATATATAAATGTATACTGTATATAAAACAAAAACATTCCATTTTGGAGTTTAAAAGAGACACAAAAAAAAAAGAGAAAAAAAAACAACAAACCAAAACAACACAAAACTGCACAATGAATAAAGACGACCATGGCCCACAAACTTCCCTTTGTGTATTTGGAAATGAAATTTAACTCAAAGGTTTATGTAAGAGTCTAATAATAAAAATTTGAAGAACTGACCTCACAGTAAGCAGCAGGTAGACATAAAATACTGTCCTCTTGTAATCCTTCCATCTATGTAATTAAAATGGGCACTCAATGGATCATTTAGATAATTTCATCCATTTTTATAAGCATAAACCAATTCTTTTCTTAACAATGCAAAACAATTTGGCTTAACTCATTCCTTCATTAAAAGTAAAATACCTTAAGGATATTCCTACACAGCATCTGTCTGTCATCCCTCAGCATTGACCTCAACACCGCTCCTACTATTCCCTACGCGTTGCGCTTGGCGCAAACATTGCCTGAGACCCACTAATACACGGCTGCGACTCCTCTCCATCAAATGGCACGTCTGGCATACTAATCCCAACTTCTGGGTTTGCTTTGCTAGCTGGCACTACAGGTCGGCCGAGAAATTACAGCCAGTGCCAATGTAACATGCACGCCTGTCCGACTCCCCTCCGTAACTGCACAAACATTTCATATGTACATTAAACATTATTTTTTTTTTTGTAGCAGATCCTAGAAAAAGCCTGTTAAAGCTTTACTAGCACGTGCAATACGTAAAAGCCATACATACTGTTCTGTACATCGCCTCACTCTCGCTAACAAACTTACTCTGCTATTTTAAACCGTTTCTGGCGAGTACATGCTAACAACAACAAAAAAAATTTGCTGATTTCCCCACCTGCGTCGCTTTCTCTCAACTTTAATACTTGACTGCAACTCGCAACAGAGAAATAAACAACCAAAAAATTTTAAAAAGCGCGGCGGTCGTTGGACCGCGCGGACTCACCTGCAACGCCCGCTGCTCCCGGCTGAGCTGGCTGGAGTCCGCGTACAGCTCGGTCGTCACACACTTGAACCGATCACCTACGTAACCGGCAGAGTTTGCGATCCTCTTGGCCAACTTAGATGGCTTGGGTTTCAAGATTTTGCCATCAGCAGATTCCGCGTCGTCGGCTCCGTCTTTGGTATAGGTCTGGCCGGCGTCGATGCTCGGTGGCGCAGTCCCCATGCAGAATGGCTTCGCATCCTCCTGCACCTTGCCGAAAGCCAGAGCCGGAGCGTCGCTCTTGTGAGCGCCTTCCAAGAAAGCAGGCGAAGGCTGGACCCCCACTCTCTCTTTGGGCTGGCTCACAGATAAATCTTCTTTCCTTAAGCCAAAAACTGATGAACTCTGGGCTTGCTTGAAATTATAGGTTTCGTGAAGATCGTTATTTCTCCCGAACTCCTCTCTCATTGCAATAAAATCTCTGTGCTGCGACGCCTGCTCTACCTTGTGCTTTGTGGGGTCATTAGCCTGATTACTGCTTTCCGTAGCAAAGCTGGCTTTCGTTACATTCGCTTCGCTTTTAGCCTCTTGCTCATCTCGCAGAAGATCCGGGAAAAGGTGTTTGTCACTTTTGGCCGAGTTCTTAGGGTGGCCGGAGCTCTGGTGCACTTTCACACCCTTGTCGCCGGCTACTTCGAAATGCATCTTCCCGCTGCTCTCCAGGAGCTCCGGCAACCGGCCCCGCAGAGCTGGGTCCTCGTAGCGGACTCGCTCATGAGACCGTGACCTCCTTTCTGCCTTCTCCTCCTTGTTGATCTCCAAAGCCGAATGCTGCAGCAGCATGGGGTGCACCATCCCCATGCCCAGTGCGTCCTGGTAGGTCATGAACTCCCCTCGCCCCGTCGG